TCAAAGTAACTACGACCAATAGTCAAAGTCTTGGTCTAGGTGGGATAGTGGTCAAGCGCTGGTTTTTTGCAATTTTTTTAAAAAAAAGTAACCAAAGTCACCACGACCGATGGTCAAAGTAACCAAAGTCACTACAACGGATGGTCAAAGATACTAAAGTTACTTAAGATACAAAGACTGATGGTCAAAATTACTTAAGTCACATGATTGACGCACCTTAGAGATCTAACAATAGGTGGCGGTGTTCTAGAACGTTCTCTTCTCTTCTGTTTTGTAAGAAAACTAGTTAGGGGAATCTTATGACCGTGGTGCCGACAGCGTCGTCGCTGCAGGCGTGCGCTAACGCCTCCTCGAAGTCTTGGGGTAGGTACACCTGGAAATGTTTCATTGTAATTTACTTACCACAATAACAAGGACAATATTGAGTATTTAATACAATGTCTTTTTGAAGAAAATCCTTTGAATCTAACATTAAAAAATAATTGAACTTCTTTTAAAAACTTTAAGCAAAATGTGATATTGTATCTATTTAGAAAAAATAAAGGGAAGTTAGGGAAATTAAAAAAACGGTTCGTTTTGTTGCTGTTTTGCTTGTGGCTTGCAGTTTTTGTCTCTTTCCTGCATAACAAATTTTTTCAAATTGATTCACACCCTATTTTAGATAGCGTGAAAATGTATATCCTATAGCGTTTTATAAGTATGGGGCTTTTTATTAAAAATAGAATTATTTAAAAATATGCCACACATTCTGACATCCTACATAACAAAGAGTGTGTTTTATTATTAGTGTACCTTGTCCAGTGCTGGCGTCAGTTGACCGCAGTCTACTAGCGCGGCGAGCTGTTCCAGCGCTGGCGTCAGCTGGCTTCTGCGTTCAAGCCAGTCGGCGTGCGTACCCAGTCCCAATATACACTAAAAGATATATATATAGTAATACTTCCGAATAGAATATTATAAATGCGAAAGTTTAGATGGATGTATGGATGTTTGTTAGAGTTTGTAGCCTAAACTGCTTAACTTTCGTCCATGTGAAATTAAAAAAAAAAAACAGAAGTAAGTATCCTATGTGTTGTAGACTATCTTCTACATATATGACATTGATATCCGTTCAGTTTAGGCTACAAACATCCATCCATACATCCATACACTTTTATCTAAACTTTCGCATTTATAATATTAGTAATGTTTTTAAAATAGGATATTATCTGATATAACAAAAAACTTACTCTTAAAACTCTATAAGTGTAGAAGGAAGCACAGAAGAGCAGCCACAGCGGGGTAGGCAGACGATCGGTTATCAGCGCGTTCGGACGCAAGTCTATAAATGCGCGTTTCGGAGCCGTCGATCTGAAAAACATTAAATACTTTTAAACTCAGGCATCAAATAACAGTTGTATGTATGTATGTATGTATGTATGTATGTATGTTTTTTATGAAGGGAAAAATGCTTCATAGCACCGTCAAACATGGGAGCTACATGCCTGGTGTTTCGGACTCAGGGTCATTAGTGTTCACTTAGCCTAGTATGACTCCCGTTACCGACTAAACAACCCTATCTATGGACTTATTTATACCCCTACGGGCCTACCGTCAAATATTTGGTGAATGTATGTGTGTGTTGTATGAATGTATGTGTTGCATGTTTCAATGTGCTGTACGAATGTATTTATTACATGTATGAATACATGTTTTGCATGTATGAATATGTTGTATGAATGTGTTGTATGTATGTGTATGTGTGTGTGTACGTACTTGAGCACGGCAGCGAGGTGCGGCGCGGGGGCGCGCGGCGCGTGTGCGGCGGGGCAGCAGAAGAGCGCGTCCCACAGCCCAGCGCGGACTGCGGCCGCCTCCAGCGCCGCCCACGACACGCCCTCCGTCTCTATTAACTCCGCACTACCTGATATACGATTTATGTTATTCTTTCGCGATTTTACATGTAAGAAATTAAAAAAGTATAACCTATATCATTCTGTGATAACCTAGCTTTGTAATGGTAAATTTTTTAATTCGGTTAAGTAGTTTTTGAGTTATTTCAATATATACAAATATATAAATCTTTCCTCTTTATAATGTTAGTATAAATCTATACATATAATAAAAATTAGAGCGTCTGCAACATGAAAAAAAATCCGGATCTCGGGAAGAAGTATTTGCCTATAACCTATAACGAATAACGTCTGCTAAATGTGTTTATTCCGGGCGATCTCCGAAACGGCTGGGCCGATTTCGATCGTACTTTCACCGACGGGTAGCTGACATAGGTATATTATAGACTACTTTTTATTTTAGTTTTGCGTGTTCGAAGTCGCGGGCAACAGCTAGTATGTAATAATAGTAGGCCCAATTTAGATCCCTTTTCCTCCCCTACCTTTTTTTATGAGAAAGGATGGGAAGTGTAAGTGGATTTGATGCTGGAGACGCATAGGAAGGGGAAATGTCCTCTTTATGTGCGTCTCCTTCGTCAGTAGGCAACGCATCTACAATAGGCAATATGCATATGCCGCCAAATTGTACCAAACTTTTTTTAAGTATACTTTATTACTATTAAAACAGTCCTGCAAAGAATTTTTTAAATATAATGTGATTTAGTGGCAAAATTTAATCATTAAAAAGTGTCTTTTTCAAAATTCCCTTGCTAAGTTCTAAAACGCACACTATTGGTCGAAGCAAGTGGCATATCTAATATGGCGTCGCTGGGTTGTCAATACACAGTTCATTTACGTTAGTTTATATAGAAATACACTCTTGAAGTATTTTACTGTAAACACGATATCAAAACCAACTTTAAAATAAGAAATTAATGAATAGAATTATTAATTACCACTTATTTGTACCACGAATAATAAAATTAATCGAGTTTTGACTTTTTGACCTTGAGAAGCAATGAGATAATTTGTTAGTTT